CCCGGGGGGTGGCGGTGGCACCCGGGGGGTGGCGGTGCCACCTGGGGGGTCCCAACGATGGTGACACCAACCCCGAGCCCTCAACCACGTTGGTTGTGCCACCGCGGTCCTCAACCCAGCAACCAACCCCACGTCCTCGAGTGTCCCCAAAACGTCCCCGAACGTCCCCAAACGTCCCCACCTCGTCCTTGAGCTGCGCGAGGAAGAGGGGCAGCAGATGTTCCACCGTGTTGTCCTTGCCCAGGATGGGCGACAGTCCCATGATGACGGAAGCCAACGCCGATTTGACGTGTTGGTTGGCGTCCGACACCAGCTCCTGAGGACGTCAAGGGGACAGCGATGGGTGGGGACACCCGGCTGGGTTCACTGGGGCGGGGGGGGCTGCACAGCGGCCCTGAGGTGTCCCCATCGTGTCCTACCACCCCAGGAGGTCCCCAAGAGTGTCCCCATGATGTTTCACCATCCCAGGAGGTCCCGTAGGGTGTCCCCATGACGTCCCACCACCCCACAAGGTCTCCTGGGGTGTCCCCATGATGTCCCACCATCCCAGGAGGTCCCCTGGGGTGTCCCCGTGATGTTCCACCACCCCAGGAGGTCCCCTGGGGTGTCCCTATGACATCCCACCACCCCAGGAGGTCCCCAAGGGTGACCCCAGGGGTGTCCCACCATCCCAGGAGGTCCCTTGGGGTGTCCCCATGACGTCCCACCACCCCAGGAGGTCCCCTGGGGTGTCCCCGTGATGTCCCACCACCCCAGAATGTTCCCAAAAGTATCCCCAGGGGTGTCCCACCATCCTAGAAGGTCCCCTGGCGTGTGCCCATGACGTCCCACCACCCCTGGAGGTCCCCAGGGTGTCCACATGACATCCCACCACACCAGGGTGTCCCCACCTTGACGCAAAGCAAGGTCTAGCCCATGATGTCACCATCATGGTCTCCCCACGACGTTCTCTCCCACCTCGTGGTGTCCCCAAGCGTCCCTTACCTTGATGCAGGGCAGGATCTGGCCCATGATGACGGCCTCCCGGCAGTCTGGGGACAGGTTTTCGCAGAACTCTGGTGGGGAAGGACACGGTGGCATCAGTTGGGGACGTGGGGACACCGGGAAGGGTCATGGGGACTCCAGGGACCATCCCTGGGGACCTGGGGATGGTCCTTGGGGACATGGAGACCCCAGGAACCATTCCTGGGGACACGGGGACCATCTCAAAGGACCTGAAGGACCCCAAGCACCATCTCTGGTGACACGAGGGTCTCCAAGGACCATCCCTGGGGACATGAGGTCCATGGAAACCATCCCTGGGGACACGGGGAACCTCAGGATGGTCCTTGGGGACATAAAGGATCTCAAGATGGTCCTTGGGGACATGAGAATGGTCCCTGGGGACACAAGGGACCTCAGGATGGTCCTTGGGGACAACTGGCCTCTCCTTGGTGACCATCTCCAAGGAACCTGATGACCCAACGCCCAACTTTGAGGGCACAAGGTTCCTCCTCGAGAACAAAGGGACGAGAAACGAGGGGGGGTGGCCCCAGCTGACCTTTGACCTTGTGGGAGGCAGCAGCCCTGACTTCGGCCTCGCAGTCCTTCATCAGGCTCTGGAAGGCGCCGACCAGGTCGGTCTTGGTGATCTCGGGGCCGACGGCTCGTTGGAGCTGGGACAAAGAACCAAAAAGGGACGGGTTTTACCCCAAAAAAGTGGCCCCGACCTCTGGGATGTTGGTCACCC